CCTATTCGGACAAACCAGCGGATTCCGAATATCTGACATCAAGTCAAAAACCAGATCAGCAAACATCTTGAGATTAAAGTGAACTTGTTATGCAAGAAACAATTGTTTTTTTTTCAATTCCTTTTGATTTGCATAAAGGATGTTGACACTTTGTTTACACATGTCGATCACAGTCGTTTTTTATGTTTGCGTTTTGCAATTTCTTCCTTATAATGCATGTAGACCTGCTTAAAATGCCATATTGCTACAGACACTTCATTTGATAAACAATTGATTTTAAAATTCCTTGTTTTATGTTTACACATTAATTCATAAACTTCTTTGCTACATTATTTGGTAAATAAAAGGCGTTGAATCAAGTAGGGAAAATAATTTCAGACCCTTTTTCCTCGCCAAAACCTAAAAACTCTAAAAAGTAGGAAACCGTTTCATTAATGAGGGTTTCCTTCACACTTTTACGTTTGAGCGCCCAAAGCAGAATATGTGTACTTAATTTGTTTCGTTGTTTGGCTTTAACTTCAACAAAATCATCGACGACAATGTTTAAAACATCTCTGAAAGCTCCTCGACGTTTATATTTTTTCCTCGATAAATCTATTTGAGACAGATTTAAAAAGGCCTATGTAAATTGAAAATCAGTTGAATCCTTTAAAAAAGCTTGCATTTTATCCACACTGCTATGGATCATAGCTATTCATACTCAAAACACCCGCAATAACTTTTCCGGATACTTTTTAATTTCAAGTATATGCAGAATTATCCTGATGTTTCCTGATGATCCATGCCTTCAAAAAGATTACTTTAAAATAAAATAATGCTGGAGATTATGCTTAGTCATACATTTTTTCATGTAACCAAGCACTAGCTGGGGAAGATTTTATACGTTTACTTCTAAGTCTTGTTCAATGATTGATTGGTCTAAATCCAATACAGTTTTCCAGTCACCATTTTTGAATATTTGCGTAAAGTACATTTGTCGAAAGCTTTAACTATCAACAAAACGCGTTTTTGTACCGTTCTCAATGTCTTTGAACGTTCTTTTTCTGCCATGCTATATGCCCAAGAAAAGTCTTACTCTTCTCTGTTTTAACAGTTGCTGGCTTTGCAACAAGGAAAAATTGACGGTTTGAAATTTTATTTAGTGTCTTTAGGTGGATAAAGTGATTGTCGCTCCCGTTTTATTCACTCAAATAGCCCTTTAGGTTTTCCTGTTAATGGGAACATAGGAATATTATTTTTTTTCATCTGTAGAATGGTATAACTTCATACACTCCAATTGTGTCATCGTTTTTCAGCTCAATAAGGTTTGTTTTATTCTATTCTTGTTTCAAACTTGTATGATAGTGAAATTTAGGGGTTGTGAAAGCGCTCTACATTTTTCTAAAAAATGATTTATTTTTTTCTGACCTTTCTGATGGATTATCATGAAAAACTTTGTCAGGACTATCTAGTGAAGTACACGTAGATGCTGTTGTCCGTTTACTCTTCCACACCGTCCACTGTGTTATTTAGTTGTACCTATTTATAATAAGGTTAATTATTATTTTGCACTTGGATTTCTGTTTCAGGGTTCATCCGGACACATTAAACCATTTAATAACCTTGTGATCTAACCCCCGTAACACGAGAACATGAGGAAATGGACAGATATTGATCTAATTATGCAATACAGACCCAGTTAAACATTTAGGAATAAATCTTTTGTCGAAGCGGTTCTCGTTTATACTTGCAACGTAGGACAAGGTTGAGTTTTTCTTTGTTTTATGTCAAATTGCTGGTTGGTGTTTGATGGTCTGAGATAAAAATTAACAAAGAAGATAATCAATGGAAAATGAAGTAATTTAGAAATTATGAAATGTAGTTTAATGTATGTTCGAAATCATGTATTTGTTCAAGATAAAAATAATCTAAATGGATCTGAAGGTTGGCAGATTAATATTTCTGAACCAGAATGATTTTGCTATTTAAAAAATGGTTTCAACTTGCATGGCATGTTGGCTGTAAGGTAAATAGTTTGAAAAAAAAATGAACGAGCAAAACAAATAGAAAAGCAGACATTGCCTTATTGCATATTAACTGATAATATTTATGACTGTGCATTTGAACCAGAAATGTGGGAGCGATATATTTTAATTGCTTTATAAATAACCTTATTATTAACATAGGGAAATATACCACATAGATTTTGAACTTCTTTTTTGTAAAAGGGGAAATAGCCCAACAACTTGTTGATTGTCAATTTTGTGATACCAGTCGGAACAGAAGAGGAAGTGTACGATGGAAATGTTTAAACTGTGACATAGTTCTCTGTGAAAATTGCAAAACTGGAAAAATTCAAGAATCAAAGATTCAAATCAACATCGTGTTATCGATATACAAACGCTCGGAACTATTCATACGCTAGACTAGATCCGGGAGGTGTATCTACAAAATATTGTTTGCATAGAGCATGTAAATAGAAAATATTAACACTTTCGCAAAGACTGTAAACAGCCAATCTGCCCTTCATGTATTCTTGAACATCGTGATTACAACCTTATTGAGCTTGAACTTATTTACAAAGATCAACAACAAATATTGAAAAATACACATAGAGAAATTGAGGAGGATTTTCAAACACTTCCAGGAATCATCGCACAGATAAGTCAAGAAGAGTAAGAAATATCCAGAAACTACGACGATGTCAGACGAAAAATAGAACAGCGAAAAAGTGCAATAAAAGTACAAGCAGAACATGATGCAAAACGTCTTTTGAAAGATCTAGAGGACTTCCGAAAAAATGAAAATACAGTTTTATCTCTGAAGCAGCAACAAGTATGCGCAAGACATGGAAAAATTTAATCCTTGTGACAAAGTGACAACATCTACTGTGTAAGTTGTTATAACGACAGACTACCAATGTAATGTCGTTCATATTTTATCTGAAAATGGAGATTTCCTCACAAAGTTCGGAGGAGACGAGGTCAATATTTCAATGGTTAGATGTTTAAACAATGATCAAGAAGAAAGTTTGCAAATTGCATGCAATGTTTCGGACCATGTTAATATATATATAGCGAAATCTTATGAGTTCATTTTTGCTTTTGGGAATTTTGTCAAGGGGATTTCTACTGTTTGTTTCAAAACTAATATTAAAATATAATGTATTGCTGCTGTGTTGATAAACAAGATAATAATAGTTTGAATACATAGATCTTGTTATAAAGTTAATGTTATATTTCAGTGTGATTGCCATGATTGATTGATTGTTGGTTGCTTAACGTCCAGTGGCAGATATTACACACATGTCTAGACACGAATAATTTAACAATGAAAACAATAGGTAATCCTCTTATAAAGGCTGTCCGGAACAAACGTCGGGGAAATTTGGATTATCACTTGAAAATGCGGGTATATTGGATAGAAACAAAAATTTTGCATTGAAAAAAAACCCTGCTACGAACACCCCAAAGTTGATGCAAGGCCAAAAGAACGCCCGACCTTGGTGACCAAAGTTACCATATTTATTCCCCAGTTACGTCTGGGTGTGATTTCAGTATGACGAGTCTATTGAAACAGCAAGCCATGTTTATTTTGACAAGTTTGAAAGCTCATAACTCAATAAGAATTTAATCTCACTTATGAAAATATATTTAAAATTGGAAAAAAAAGAATCTATTTGTGGAATTTTTGTCACTTTATATGTAATGAATGCATGCGAGGTATAAATGTACGAACAAACACTATTCAAACAACATGATAAACACATCCCAGAATATTGTAATACTACTTAATGGACACTAAAACTACAAAAATATTATTGAAAAACATATAAAAAACAACAATCTCAATAATTGAAACACAGATGAAAAACAACAATCTCTATAATTGAAACACAGATAAAAGAACAACAATCTCAATAATCGAAGCACAGATGAAAAAAAACAACATTCTCAAAATTAAGCGTTCCTGATGAAGGTTAATCAAGAAAAGAGGACGCATGAAATTTATAACGTGTTGTTTTCATTTTTTTACAGCACTGGGTCGATACCTCTTGTGATGGACTATCAGTCACTTAGGACATCATCAGCTGAGTAGTCGGTGCTGACATGATTTATAACCAACTTTTCTAAAATTGTCCGTTTATAACTTTTTAAATGATTTTTTAGTGTGTGTATGTTACGTGTTTTCGCCAACTCGTTCGTTATATCCGTGGATGAAGTGACCTGTCTTGGATTTCAACGAACGTTATCTTTGTAGAATTGGTATACGATAACCGCAAGGATTCGTATCAACAAGTTACAAAACCCTTTACTTAATTCTTCCATAAATACAAAGAAATGTTTGTGAAGTTTGGTTGTACATGTAGAAATCTCATCAGGAACGGGATATCATAACACTTATGGTTCTGTATCTTGCCGATAAAAACATGTTGGTATTGCACAGGGTCATGCTTTTGTCGCTGCATATGGTGTTAGCTGATTAGTATTTAATATACAAATAAGGAGATGTGGTATGATTGTCGATAAGACAACTATCCACCACAATACAAATGAAGTGGATGTAAGCACTTATAGGCAACCGTACGACTAGGGACGATAAGTTTGAGGAAAAAATGGTCTATATTCATTACTTAATATTGAGTTTTGAAAGAGAAAAGAAATGATGAGTACTCTTAGATCGGTATTCTTTTGGGGTCAAATAGTACTGAAACTTAATTGCAAGTCGCTCAGTTTTAAAAGGTTTTGATGATATCAAACATGTAATTAGTTTGGCTTCCAAATTTTTTTTTGTGATTGTACATGTATTTACTGGTTATTTAAGAACATTGTATTTGTTGTTATCTGGATATATGTATATGCTTTTTGTTCTTTATTGGGCGTTATTTCTGCTGAATAAATTTGAGTTCAAATCGTTGATATAACTATATACCAATATGCCCACAAGGAAAACTTAAAAGACCCAACTATTAAATCCTTGAGACATTTATATAAACAGTATGATGACGTCATACTACAGGACAAGTCACATATTTTTATTGATTTAATACTTTTTGTAACATAAGTGTCGTGAAAATCTTAGCAATGTTTTCATCATTTACTTCTTTTTTCCTAACTTTGTCTAGTAAATGGTCTACTACCATGTCAGTAAAACTTTCTTTGCGAATTTGATTTGACAATATCAACTGTTCTAAAGATGAATCTACTTGACTCTTATCTCGTCTTCTGGCCATTTCTTCGATGAAAAATGGAAGTTCATCTGTGAGCACGTCATGCAATGCCGCCCGTACCTTTTCTTTACTTTCACTCGAAAATATCTTTAGTATAGCCACGATAATTTTCGAACTTTTGCATGGATCATTATATGCTTTACGGAATTCTGCTACTTTTTCTGCAGGAATTTTTTCATATTTCATTTCATCAAACGTCTGTTCAGCGAAAAACACATTCAAAGCTTTGATCGGATGTTCCCGAATTTCCGTAATTTTGTTCGCAATTTCAATAGAAGTGTTTTTATCCATCCCTGCAAAAAGATTGCTTGGAATAAAGAAGTGTTGCAGTTCTGTATTTCGCAAACAATTGATCATGTAGTCTAGAACTTTTATTAACAATTTAAATACGTTGTCTTCTGTATCCTCCAGTAACAACGAATTGAGAGTTTCTGAGTTCCAATAAACTGCTGTTTTCCAATGAAACGTAGTTAATACTTCTGAATAATCTTGCAATACACTCTTTTCAATAGCTTTAAGAATGAGAACAACCTTCTTTTGAACAATGGTCATTGCTCTCGCTAGCTTTATTTCACCGTTGTTGTACGCCAAACAAAAATCTTTCTTTCTTTCTCGTTTTATCAAGGCCGGTTTTGCAACAACAAAGAACTCGCTATTTAATATATCATCCACTACATGTTCTGGTGGCCAGACGCGTTTACGTTGTTTCCACTCATCAAGAAATCTTGGCCTCCCAGCTAGCGGGAATACTGGTATAAAATGTTTGCTTGATTTTGATTTATATTTTAGTATAACATCGGGTTTTTCGATCTCCTCTCCATTGGTTTTGTCACCAAATTTTTTTTTATTTTTTATGTCAGCTTCCCTGGAACGTTTAACGTGTTTGTTATCTAAAGCTGGACAATCAACATCACTGTACGAAACTAACGTTTTTCCTGGCTTTATATTATGATCTAGAACCACGTGCAAACTGTTGCGACATCGTGTTCTTCCAAAATGTGAGAGTAGTTTGTGAAAATTTCTTATATGCTTAAAAGCTTCAGGTCTAATTTCACTAAGTAAATTACTTGGTAGATAACGACCATCAATCAGTTGAACAGTCGGAAATTGATCAACCAACTGAAGTCCCTTTATGTGGACAAAACAAGGAAGATCTTCCCTGTACTCTAAAGCACTAACAGGAATAGATATTGCCGAAATCATGAGGAAGTCGTAATCTCCTTCGTCTTGTCTTATTCTTAAACGTGTCTGCTCCCGTGAACTTCCAGCAACCATACATCTTTCTCCGCTGAAATAGGACAACACTTGCATTATGTAGCTGCAGTATCTGTTTTGTATGTTGTCATTTACAGTGGGTTTAGTCATCTCAAATAGTCGTGTGAGCATTTCCTGTAATCGCAACTGTTTCCTTTCAAGTCTAATAATACCTATTTAATGATAATGAAATCAGCATTTGTAGTTGTTTCTAAAATTGTAGAAAGATCAGTATATTTACAATTTGAGAAATATCTGGTGGAAAATAATTTATTTTATAATTTACAATCTAGTTTCAGATCTGCTTATTCCACATATATATGTCTGATTCATCTGTTAGATCATATTAAAAATGAATCTTTTAAGGGAATCTATACTGCAATGAAAATGTTGGATATACAAAAAGCCTTTGACACGGTTGATCATCATATTTTGCGTTACAAACTACAAATAATGGATGTCAAATGTACTAAATGGTTTGAATCATATTTATGTAGTAGACAATACAAAATTTGTATTAATGGTACTGAATGTGATTTAAGATATATTACATGTGGAGTACCACAAGGGAGTATTTAGTCCCACTTTTATTCGTGTATCATGTTAATGACATTGTAGAAGAATTAGTAAAGACTGCAAAATATTGTTATATGATAGTACTATATTATACTCTCATAAGAACCGAGAAGTTATATCTCAAAAACCGGGTAAGGAATCTTGCAGTATATGGCTGATCGATAATAAATTATCACTTCATTTGGGGAAAACAGAAACTATTCTGTTTGGGTCTAAACGTAAATTGTCTAAAATTCGTAACTCTGAAATTACTTGTAATAATCACACAATTTCATCACAGATTTGGGTGAAATACTTAGACCTGAATATTGATAATTCTCTTTCTGGAGACAAAATTTTAAATAATATGACTCAAGATTAAAGCTCCTATACAGACAGGCGAAATGTTTATCAGAACATTCTAGAAAGACTTTAGTTACAGCTTTAATTCAATGTCATTTTGGCTATGCCTGTTCTATATAGTATGCTGGTGTCAGTAGGCTATGCCTGTTCTGCATAGCATGCGGGTGTCAGTAAAAAAATAAAGTAAAGATAAGCTACAAGTATTACAAAACAAATGTAATAAATTTATAAGAAATACTGGATATAGATCTAAAGTTGACTTTAATGTATTGAATAGTGTTGGTTATGTTAATATTGAAAATCGTGTTAAACAATTGAGAGTAAACCATGCTAATTATATTTATTACCATCATTGTCCTAGTTATATGTATACAAGTTTTAAACAGGTGAAACATTTTTTATAATCATTTCACAAGTAATAGTGAATATAACTTCTGGGTTCCACTAGTTAAGAGTCAATAAAAAGATACTTTTTATTATTACAATGGTTATACAAGATTTGAATATGGTACCAAATAATATTAAAAAAAAAAAAATAAAAGAATTCAAAATTACTGGTCAAAAGTACTTGACCAAAAGTTATAGTACGGCTTCATCTGAATGCTTTTTATATAATTGAATTTGTTTTTTACTTAACTTAATTTCATATGAAGTCTTATGTCAGATTAATTTGTTTATTATCATTTTCGTATGTGGAAAATATAAGCGGTTTACATGAAAGGACCCCATTGGAAACAAGATTCAAGGCTGATATGCATAAAAACAAATCTTAATTTAGCTTTATGCATACGGGCCTAGAGCTTTATGGGTTATCCCTGATAAAATATCAGCTAATTTTTCCGTACACAAAAGATATTATACTCACCAAATGCTCTATTTTATCATGTATGTGTTAGTTTATGTCTTTATGTATTGTATATTGTTATTGTTATTGTAAAACTTATAATGCTTGACATTTCATTGAAAACAATATTATAATTATTATTATTATTATTATTATTACATCGACTAGGGTCTTTTTTAATGACCTTGCCTACCCATGCGGGTCTTGCACGGTCGGCCCTAGCTTGTGTGTTTTTGGGCATTTAAATAATTTATTTTTAACTTATGGTAATTGATATCATTTTGATTGATATAAAAAAACAACATGTAACATGGATAAAATGTAAAATGAACAATGATTTGATAAATAAATAAAATAAATAAATAAATAAAGTGGTGAATAAAAAGAAAAGATAAAAATACATAGCACTTTAATAAATGAGATAAAATGAAATATGAAAACTTTTGATATAGAAAAAAAAATAAAATTATTACGTAGTATCTTATCATAGTAATTCCTAACTAGCTAACCTGTCGTTGGTTGCTGTCCTTCATATTTTTTTCGTTTATTGGGATATGTCATTTTGGGGTCTTTTATAGATTACAATGCGATATACATTGTTTTGTTGATTGTTGAAGGCCCATGACCCATGACGATGACCCATAGTTTTCTCTAGTGGAGAGTTGTCTCATTGGCAACCATACCACACGTTCATATTTATAAATTCATAAAATATAAGTATAAATCAGGCTGTTGGTTTTCTCTCGTGAATTGTTTCATAATTTGTCATCCCAGTGCCTTTTATATATTTCATACAGTGACCTTTAGTTGTTCACAATATAGTCTTTTGGTAGACAGATGTCTTATTGACAATCAGGGGGCCGAGTGGTCAAAGAGTAGTCGAAGTACCGTATCCTGTGAACACTTAGGTTATGCGTTCGAATACCGCACGTGGCAGATCCGCTCGACTCCAATCTTAATGGCAAACAATAGTGAATTATCTCTTCCTGATAATTACCAGATGGCACCGCTGTTCCAGGTCCAGCAGCATCTGTTTGTTTACAAATTGATGCACGTGTTAACGCTATGGAAACCACATACGAAAAATACACAAGTTTTGCAATTCCTGCTTTAAAAGAAGAATTGAAAAAAAAAGAAATGCAAGACTTTCAGGCGAAAGAAAGAATTAATTGAGAGGTTTGTAATGTATTCAATCTATTGTTTTAATAAAAGTACAATATATGCGTATCTAAATACTTCGGACGCCGGTCGTAAACAATGAAGTCAGGAATTGTAAATAAAATTTATTTACCGATAATTCTCATCATAATAGAGGTCTTGTTTTGTTTAAATGTCTATGATTCTAATAAATATATTATAAAAAGAGTTAAAAAAGAGTCCTGTCAAAAAATGATGTGATTGACATCGTATTCGTTCTTGTCTCTCATATTTTTTGGAAGTTAGAAAATTACGCCGTTTTTAAAAAAACATGTACTTGACTAATTTTGCCTTTAATGTTGATAATAAAAATTTGCTTGTTTTACAAAGCATTTATAATTTTGTGTGCCGGTTGGTGGTCTGTCTGTGTAATATTTGGATTATGTAAGTGTCAGATTATCCGAGTGTTATTAACTATTTCGTGCCAAGATAAGACTGGTTGTTCAGAAAATTTCAAAATTTCCCATGGTCAAATGAATAAAATTTAATGCAAAACAAAACAAAAGATATTTCCATACAATTTAGATAATTTTTGTACAAGTTAAGACTATTTTCAAAGATGATTTGTTTAAGAACATAGAATTGTGGATATTAGAAATTTTTCATTTTAAAATTTTTTTTTACTATTTTTTTTAAGGTTGGTGGCATATGACAAAAATCAAAACTTTGGATAGACAGAACAGTTAGAACCTAAATACAAAATGACCTTACCTGATCCTTCCACATACTTTGATGTCAATGCTGATACGAAATTTAATTGAACAAAAATGGAAATACTAAATGATTATTTAGTTTTGTATAACAAACAGCTTGAGAAACAAATTCAACGGTTTTATAATGAAAGGACTATTCGTTACTTCCGGCTATCATTTGACTGTAACAATACATATATTGCATCCAGTTGCTATGCACAATATAAGAAAACCATTTCTTATGAAATTGACACTCTTGTGGACAAGGCAGGTACCATCATTGAAGCTCAGTGTGAATGTCCTGCCGGTGAAGGGCCTAATGCCCATTGTAAACATGTTTGCCCTGTTATGTATGTCGCCATTATGTTCATGAAGTATAAAACAGTCATATTGGAAGAAACTTGCACACAAAAACTCCAGAGTTTCCATAAAGCAAAAGGTTTTTAGGTAGTCCATTAAAATCCCAAAATTTGGATATGCCAGGTGCTGATGAATTTAAAAATATTGATCCCAGACCTAAAAACCTTAGGAATGTCCCTGCGTACCGGGATGTTTTCAGTAATACTTGCCTTTATTTTCAAGGAATTTCTGAAATGCCTATTTTCAAACATTTGAGCCTGCAAATACATTTGCTGTAGCGCATGACCATGATTATCTTGAATTAACGCCAGAAGATAATTTCTTAGAAAAAATCTCAGTTCAAAATATTACGAAAGAAAAAAATGTGCAATTGAAGAGAAAACAGGGGTCAAGCAAATAATATAACTTGGAAAGTAGAAAGAATAAGGCGACTTCCTTCTACAAAATTTGGTAGGATCTGTAAAGCTACAGAACAAACTGATTTGTGCAAGTTGGCCAAATCATTGATTATAGTGACAGACATAAAAGCTGCACCACTAGAACATGGTAGAAAACCTGAATCTGTTGCTATAAATCGCTATATGGAACACACTGGTAGTGTTGTAAAGCCCTGTGGTTTAATGGTGTATTTAGAATGTTCACAAATTGCATCATCACCAGATGGCATAGTCACAAAAGACTTGATAATTGAAGTAAAGTGTCCTTATGTTAACAGAACAAAGCCTGTAAATGAAAAAAAACAGTACCATTTCTTCATGTCGATGAACACCAGAAATATTACCTAGACTGCAATAATGACTATCATTACCAAATTCAGGGTCAGCTTTTGTGTACAGGGCTAAGGAATGAACACGTGTTGTCTGTCATGAGAAATCAAAAGTCAATGACATAAAGTATGTCCAAGCTCTTTTGAAATTCTTTACACGGTATGTGTTTTTCTCATTGTTGGAAGCTGTATGGTTGCTGAAACTGCTTACACCCATTTCATATGCACTTTGGTTTGATAGTTGTCTTACTGGATATCATATTATAATACCACATCTCCTTATTTTTATATGTAGTACAATGTACACGTACATCTACATGTTATTGTAAATATATATCTGAACAAAATTCATTGTGTAATTTTTGTTTTATGCATCCTTTGGAACAATACAAGTTCTAAAATTACATAACATAAAACAACTAAAGGTTAAGTCAGATGCAGGTATTGTCTCAGTTTCATTCATAGGATTTGTCAGAATTTTGTATGTTTTACCAAGTCCAATAATTCGCTCTATATGTACACGTTTACTGGAGACTTTTCTATCCCTTAAAAGAGTTTTCCCACTTATTCTGTTTCTCTTTTTGAAAAATGTTGGAATATTAACAGCAACATCCGTTCTAGCAAACAAGTCTTGCACATTAAATCTTTTATCTGCCATCACACTGTCACCTGGATCACATAATTGAACTATTTTACATCGTTCTATTTGGTGGTCACTGGTACAACCACCATATGCATTGGAGACATAGTTTACTAAACCACCAGGTGTCGAACCTACAAGTATTTTCACAATGTTTCTGTTTTTATAAGAAAAAAAGTTTCTTGTTGAGCTCTAGGTACTTTTGGTTTTTTCACTTGACATTCTGTGCCATCGATTATAATCCTAGTTGTAGGAAACTTTGATTTGAAGTCAGATGGAGAAAAATACCTGACTAAACTACTGGATGGTCAAGTATTAACCTCTTGCCACTGTTTGGACATAAATACAATCCACGTATACACAATATTCTTAACACTAGATTCAGATATTGAAAAAAATCTAGACAATTCAAAGTTTATTGTATAACGCCTCAATTTCATTAAGGTCATAAAAAACTGATTTTCAACTGACACGCTATCAATTTGAAAATAGATGTATTGCAAGCAATGTGCTGCTGGACGAAGTGTGGTCAAAACAAATAAAATTTTTATATACGACTCTAAACCAATATAAAAATGCATGGCTGCGTCATCATTTGAGAAATTTGCTGCTGAAAACATAGGCAATGATGGTGTTTGCGTAATTTCATCTGTGAACCTCAACAATGACTCGGCAGTTGGAGTTGGACAGTCATCAATCCTTTCTGCAGTATAAATATATTTTTCAGGAAAACCAACTTCACATTCGAAACTTTCCTCTAGATTTCTCCCACAACTTTTATCCAATTAAGTTTTTTTGCTTTCACGGAAAACTGCTCTGATTTTTCTTTTCGCTGACGAGTCAGTCTCTTGCCTGGTTCGGGAAAAAAGGCTTGGAATAGCAGTAGGCAAAAGTCTCTACGTAGTGGGCTTGCGTCCTGAAAACGGTTATAAAACATTAGTTTTACAAAATTAAATGAACTTTCAATAGCAATGTATACATTTGTACATGTACCTGACAAAATATCAAATAGTTTTATTTATTTACAATGTGGATAAAACATATGTTTGCCTGATTCCAGGTATGGTGTATGGTATGTAAAGGACCAATAATGAAAGACTTATGCAACACATGTATCTAAATAACAATTACATATAAATGAGAGCATGGTTTGCTCCTGTAAACATGAGATTTTTCAAGAAAGCCTGCGCATTCCTGTCATTAGCATAATTAAGTTACTGCTAAAATAAATCTCAGGATAATATATCTACAATCAGAAATCATTACAAATCTATGTATCACAAGGTATATACATTAACATGTAGCATTCACCAGAAAATCTTAAATAAATAAACAGATCACATTGATGAATGATGTATCGTACAAATAATGTAACCATCCCCCTTTTATTGTAAAACGATTATTGCGGTTGTAAACAGACTTTAGTTTATTCACATAGCGATTATATATATTACTGTATATATTTCTAAAAGAAAATAAAGTTTTACCATGAATAGTTTCCTGCACGTAGTCGTTTTCTGTAAAATATGCCTTGCAAACAACAGCTGATAGAGATGGACACCACGATTTGATCGTGTTCTCGTCCAATCTGCGTATGGCGTTGATCCAACTTTTCACTCTTTCTAAGTCATTTGGAAATGCATGTCCTCCTTCTTAAATGACAGCCAGGTACACAACAACACGTACTAGGCATCGTTAATTAAAATGTGAATGTAAATTTGTCAGTTTGAACAGTGCAGAAGCCGGAAGATAAATAGGACCGGCTACCACACGCCACCTATTAGGAACGATAATTTGCTTCTTTTTATAATTACCTAGGGTTGTCGGTTTTCCATCATTCCGAAGGTCGGTAGTTCTCTTTCGGCTTTCCGGCTTCCTGCACCAATAAAAATTGACCACCACGAAATAGCACAAGAGTGCTAAAAGTAGTGTTAAACACCAATCAATCAAATCAAATCAATATTGACAATCATATCCGTAGAGAAAGTTGCAAAATCATTCATATATCAGAGACAGCAGCAGTTTACTGCTGTTTAAAAATAAAAAAAAATCATACAGAATATACTCCTACGAATGAAGATAAAAACCAAAACCGGCAAACCGGTTGCGTCGACAGGTTATGTTATATATGCTGCTATGCATGCATCAACCGCCATGCGAATCCAAACTATATTAAAATGTCACAATCGGTAATCAGAAACAATCGATAAATGTACAGATCAGAAGATTTTTATGGTATCTGAAAATTTTATACCGCATATCTCTTCTGAGTTGATATTCGGAAATATCGTACCGGTTAACCGATTTGCCGTAAAACTTACGTAGAGTCGACTATTACAGTCGTTTTACCTCATAACTCTACCGGAACAGTTTTTAAGACAGAATAAAACCTCCGTTAACAAAGTTCCTCAAATGTGAACATGCACCGCATAGCATATCAACTGAATATGTAAACGCCATATGATGGTAACGTTACTACTGAAAAATGAGAAATTGACAATGTGAAAGCTGGAATCGTAGCGTTTGTTAAAGATCCAAGTTCGAAGTCGTCATTCTGTGAAAATATCAAGACAAATATTAAAATATGAAGCAGACCTTCCAGCTTAGGTCTAGTATCCTTAATATCAAGTACACTAGGTTATATACAATAAGTAGACAATAAGGGATATGTATATATAATCAGAACTAGATTAATCATGTGGCATAATGGCTGTGAAACATTTAAACATTCAGAATACAATCATTGTGTTATTCGCCGGTTTTTTTTTCTTAAACGACTCTTTTTTGATGCTTAGTATTTTTAGACCTACTCCAGCATTATACACTTTAAATACCTTATTCAATAAAGCTGTGATAAAAGCTAGTCAAAACTGTCTTGGTTTACAAAGCGTGAATAATTTCCTTGGTTTTTTGTGTATGTTAATATCAGTTTAAATAAAAACTTCCTGATGCATGTTTGAAAAAAAATAAGCGGAAGTTACTAAAGGGACATTAAAAACCCACTTAAAAAATAAAGGCTTAGAAACCCGAACTCCCCAAAATTAGGGGAGTGTTATTTTGATCTCTAGAAGAGAGAATGAATTTATTTCCTCTTTGTCCCATAAAGAAACCGCGAATTGTTGCATGCGAACTGAATAGAATATGGATCACCCACTCACTCTGATTGATATTATCTGCGAACCTCTCTGCTAACCGATATAAATGACTATTGGTGCAAATGAAAGCTAGTATTGAGGAAAAGGGTGATGATAGAAAAGGAAACAAAGGGGTGTAAAAATGTACGAGGAAAGGGAGACAGAAAGTTGGGAATACATCAATATAAAACACCTGCTAACCGACTCAATATTTACTGATTTTTCAATAAGCTTTACAAACACAAATTCCCTTGTAATCTACCTGTTTAAAGTATTTTTATATAATAGAGTTACTTACAAATGGAAATAAATACAAAACATATTAACCAACGTGCTGCTTTTGAAGTCATTCTTTTGAACTTCGACCATAATATCTGTCACCATGAATGGCACGATAGAAATATTGTTTGTCAGTATATGTGTATTGAATCCCTTTCTCTTATATTACGTAAGTGAACATTCATTTGTATATCATGTAGAACGTTTGTATATCCGGTTCATTGAATATTCATAGGAAATCCAATATTCTAAAAAAAGATAAAAATAACAAAAGAGTAATTTTTACCTTCATATGAAATAGGTTTATCCGAAAAACTACAACATGGCTAAATGGTCTTATTATATTTATATTAACTGCAATGTAACTGTTATTACATATTGAAATGTTGTCGTTACTAGGATGACTGAGGTAAAGAAATATGGTCACAGTGTTCTTCTTCCGGCTGACGGCTGACAGTAGACCCTTGAAATATGGGACGTCCGTTTTGCTGAACGGGTCATATAAGTTCATAGCCACGTCCGGTCAGAATGGGTACGTTAAATCCATTATTTTCTTTTATGTGTGACTGCTATTCTATCATGCACAGGAATAGTTGAACGGTACTTTTTTAATCATTTTTCCCTATTATTTCTTTTATTTTATTTTGTATATTCTAAATTTTTAAAATTAATTACTTAAAAGGATTGAGAAAATTGTTTCTCAACCTTCATCGTACTAAGTAAGGCAAACAAATAATGCACATACCTTTATTGAAGCAAAAATTAAAGGACAGATATATAATGGATACAATGTGAGTTTCATCAGGTTTTGTTATCACACAATATGTCCATTTTATAAAAAAAAAATTTCTTACGTATTTCTGATAGTCGCTCCCAGTTGTGGAGTCATTTCTATGAATATGAATATAAGAGTTATGTGGTAAAAATAAGTAAGACAGCACCCAAATAACACATCAAAATAATTTTTAACTTATATTATTCAACTACTAATAATCGATATAAAAATGGGAGCGATGAGTCTAAAAATTAGCTAAACACTGCAATATGTTACTCGACTGTTGCTTCATAAAAATGGAAAGTCCCGAAATGAAAAATTGAATTAATCTCTCTTGTTGTAAAGTTTATTTCTCAACCTAATTATAAATCAGATTACGTAGCAGATTTATTCATAGCTGTATCTGTTGTAACATCTATTTCAAGTTAAGTTCAATAGAAAAGATTCGATTAACACGGTAACCCAAGTTCCAAAATTTGGACGATGAAAATAAAATACAGCATTTATATTTGAGCGTGCACATAGAAGGATAAAGTTAAGTATACTTTGAATGATACAATTTTAAAATGACTGAATGAACTGTTTAACCTGTTTGTTTTTACAAAAACACACAATAGTTGATACATGTCGAATTCATGGTTCTTTTAACATGTTTTAAAAGCAAACAAGGAAACTTCATTCTTATTGTTTGCGCTACTAAGTTCTCAATGATTTAGCTAAATGTTACTTGAATTTACCAAATATACTACAGAATGGCAGATGCTTTATAAGGTTCGTGTTTGACATAAAATGGAAGCAGAAAGTACAAACTTTCGTAATTATATGTGTCCTATTTACGACATTTTGAATATGTGTGGACTCGCATGGGTAATACATGCATAGCACGAGACTCCTACCTTTTCGAAGCTTAAAGATTTGCTCCTTTAAGATTGCATGCGACGGTTTTTTTTACCAAGATTTGTATTTTATAAATGGATTTATGAGATTTGAACATTGTTAAACTATTGTTGCATCTGATCTTTCTATGTGCTCACTCAAAATACTTTTCCGGTGCTAGGACCGGACATCTGTTATGGGCGAATTTGTACTTGCTCTCATATCTATTTCCTGTTTGTTCTATTCAACGCTCCTGACATCAATCATAAGTAATGCAGATTATAATTAAGGTATTGCGTTTTACAATCAAAAGTCTTAATAAGGGGGAACAATTTTGACGATCTTCAAAGTAATTTTAGATTGTCTTCAGATTTAACAATTGCCTTTTACTCTTTATAAAAAAGTCTCGGGTGTTATCTTAAGGTAACACCTGTAAATTTGCTTTTATAAAATTAAATATATCGGGTACTAGATATATGACATCTTACGAATAGTATAAATCTATTGTCTTTTTTGTCGATTAATTGAAGTGCTGAGTTCCATGATAGGTACATATTTTGCCCATTTTGATACAATGTTGATCAGTTACTCTGGATACTTTTGTTTCTTAACAAAGCTCCGAAATTGATTGGTTATTTTTTGTATTTTAGTCTGTTTCCGAGAAATTATAAGCAACAACTCAGCTTTATCTGGTGCATAAAATGATTGTAAGGTATAGTAGTCCGTCCGTCAAGGTTCATCTGACCTCGACCTCGTTTTTTGGCTCAGTGATGAAGGTAAGTTTTCATGGTCAAGTTCGTATTTCAAATACTATAAACAGTAGGTCAACTATATATTTGGTGCATGGAATGATTGGGGTACAAGTCTGTCTGTCTGTCATGGTTCATCTGACCTCGATATCATTTCATGGATCAGTGATAAATGTTAAGTTTCGTGATCAAGTTCGTATCTTAGATACTAAAAGAGTACGTCAACTATATGTGGTGTATGGAATGCATGAAAGGTGTACATGTCTATCTGGCAGAGTTCATCTTATCTTGACCTCGTTTTCATGGTTTAATGGTTAATGTTGAAGTTTTTGTGTTTTAGGTCGTTTTTCAGCAATAGGTGAACTTATATTTGGTGTATGAAACGAATTGAAGGTGTACACGTCTGTCTAGCAGAGTTCATCTGATCTTGTCTTCATTTTCATGGGTCATCGGGGCAAATTTTCATGATAAGGTCTGTTTCTCAGGTACTTTAAGCAGTAGGTCATTTATATATGCATATGCAATGATTGTATGGTGTACATTTCTCTGTCAGTTCGTCTGACATTGATCTGATTATCAAGGTTCACAAGTAAGCGTTAATTTTTTTACGGTTAAGTTCATTACTCACATACTTTAATCAATAGGTTTGCCATTGGTGGTGTATGGAGTTATTGTACGTTCTTCATGCCCGTTTGGCATACTTTTTATATTACATTTTACTTTTAGACTTTAATCATAATTTCGATCATGGTTAGTAAAGCAGGCGAGACATTTCAGCGTGTTTCCTATTGTTTTGTTATTAGAATGAAAACTTTTACTGATAGAAAGATACTTTACATAGTAAAAATGATCAGCAAAATAAGTTCTACGAATAAATCAACATGATCGAAATTGACTGACTTATAATTGGATTATTAGAGTTTTGAATGACGATTTCTGCATTTTTATATGCTTTCTTCGGAAAATAATGAAGTAAAAGAGAATATTTGAAAACCAGAAAGATCAACAAAATAAGATCTTCAAATAGTTAAGTTTTTTTTTAAAGAACATGACCATCTTCCAATGGAATTTTATTGGCAAAGAAAACTATTCTAATTAATAAAGTTGAGAATTGAAACTGCGAATGTGTCAAAGAGACAACAGTCCAAGGCCACCAATGGGTCTTCAACACAGCGAAAATCCCCGCACCCGGAGTTGGGCTTCAGCTGGCCCCTAAACAAAAATGGTTCAGCGAAAATGGACGTCACACTAAACTTCGAAACATATAAGTAAACCAAAATTAAAAAATATACTAGATAAATTGCTATATTTTTTCGCAAAACATTATGTCGTACGGATTTGGTTATTTATAGTGGACTCAGGTATTTTCGTTTTTTACCGTTCCAGAGGTTTTAAAAATGAGAACTTTTGTGTTACGCATACTGAAACAGCATAGCGGGCCTATTGTTTTATTCAATAAGAAAGAAAATCAAAACATATTAGCTTTTTCTTGTTATCTGTTTTTTCTTGAAAACGACAAAGTCCTTATTTTTATCTTTATTTGCGTATCCAAAAGGAGGCCGAAAATAACAAAAAGTAAATTCACAAAAATACCGAACTCTAATTCAAACCGGGAGTCCCTAATCAAATGGCAAAATCAAAAGCTCAGACACATAAAACGAATGGATAACAACTGTCATATTCCTGACTTGGTACAGGCTATTTCTTATGTAGAAAATGGTGGATTAAACTTGGTTTTATAGCTAGCTAAACCTCTCACTTGTATGACAGTCGCATAAAATTCTATTATATTGACAACGATGGGTGAACAAAACAAAGAGACATAATAGGTTAAAAAGGTCAAAATAGGGTACAACAGAATACATTGTGTTATAATCTTAATCACTAAAAAACAAACAAATATGTAACAAAGAAACACAAAAAGGCATATAGACAAAGCAAAAAGGAAAGACAAGAATACAAAAATTTACCATAGCACAATAACACGATGTCGGGATGTATAAGTACAGTGTCACGTCAAATGACTAATCAGTAAAAGTAATATTCAAAAAGACAAATTAAAGAATACTATAACACGTTATTAAGATGATTAACAACGCCATTATCCAGAATCTATACTTCAAGACCTGTATAATTTGTGAAGTTGATACGGAATATTTATCAACAAGGTCTTAGTAACCTCCGATGAACTTTAAAAAAAAAAGGACAAGACATTCTTTGGCATACCCCTGGTTCATCAACTTTCTGCTCAGACACTGGTGACGTTTCACAAAGTCTGAGTAGCAGCTGCAAGCTCTTGAATACCGAATAAGTTGAGAAATGTATATCCCATATGCAGGTGAAGCTGCTATATTGTAAGTAAGGTGGGGGAAATTGATAATTTCAAAATTAAAATCGCCTCGTTTGTCATAGATTCTGGTACTGCGATGACCGTGTATGTCAAATTCGAGGTATAGGTCTAAAAATGAGGAAGCCGTGTCTGTTGTTTCTTTAATGTCTAGTTTTGGGGGATATATGATTGGAACCCAATCAGAAAAGTTTGGGATATTAATGAAAAGAACATCATCAATATATGTGAATGTGAAATTAAATGACCTGGCTTCTTTGAACTTCTTGTTTTTGACAAGTGTCTAAAGGAACTCCGACTCATCTGAAAATAAGAAAAGGCGCATTTTTCGTTCCCATAGGAATGCCGACAATTTGTTGAAAAAAGTCTACCTCCAAATTCAACAAATATGTTGTCAATAAGAAACTACAGCACACTGATCATTTGTTCCTCTGTGTCGCATTTTTTACCTTTTCCT